CCTGCGTACCCCTGCCCCGCCTCCCCCCTTCTTGCAGCCCAAGCTGCACACGGGCCTGGCGGTCTGCCGCATGAAGATGGGGGAGTGGGAGGACGCGGAGCGCGACCTGCTGGACGCGCTGGGCAAGAACGCGCAGGACCCCGACACCCTGGCCAACCTCATCGCCGTGGGGCTGCACCTGGGCAAGCCCACCGCGCGCTACGCCGCGCAGCTGCGCACGCTCGCGCCGCGCCACCCGGCGGCGCAGCGGTACGAGGCGGGGGAGGAGCTGTTCGCGCGCGCGGCGGCGGCGGCGGTGTCGTAGGCGCGGCGCGGGGCCGGGGCGGCGGGCCGCGCATGCGGGGCGCTGTGGCGCGGCTGGGTTTGGCGTGTGGGGAAGCACAACGTAAATGCGGCCGCAGCATTCGCACACATTTCGGGAGAAGAAGCGAAGGGGGTTGATGACGGGCAAGATTTTAGGGGATGCGGGTCCTCAATACGCCCCACAATTGGCGTTTGTCCGAGAGGGTTGTCACCGCTCTCACCCTGGTCGGGACACCTGGAGGCAGCACGACACACGGCCGCCGCAGCACCGACCATTGGGCGTCAGCCAAAGTCGCCGCAATTGCTGGCCGCCGCGCAGCATGAGGAGCTGTTGCTTCTGGCAGTGCAGCTGCGCGGGGCGGTGGCACGAATTTAGGGGCTCACTGGACGGTGAAGCACGGGGCTCCTGCAATGGCCGGCAGGTGCAACTTGCTTTGGAATGCAACTAGCCGTGAGTTTGTTGTCCCAGCAACAGCAGGGAGGGGTTGTGGGGGGCGGCGATTTGACTACATGCATCCCTGCGGTGACAGCACTACACAGCCAACTTCGCCTGGATGTGGCGGAACACCCTGCGCCGGGCATCCGGTGTCAATATGCAGTCTGCGACGAGGCACTTGATGTTAGTGTGCCGTGCAACCCGACGCCACGCGACAGGTTACCCCCTGACTCGTTGAACAGCAGGTGCAGCTGCTGTGGCCCCAACGTGGAGCATAAGCAGCACGCACGGCCTGTCTCATCCTTCTCCAAGCATATTTGCTTACATATACAATGTTTTGAGTCGAGGCAGGCCAGCCTGCAGGGTGCGAGAGTGGGCAAACAACACGCCCGGGTCTCTCGTGGAAGGCCCAGCACACCACCGGCCAAGCATAGCACCACGAGAGGAGTCACGCGCCGCTGCGGCAAGCACCAGCACCTCTGCCGTCTCTGGAGTGATCTGAGAACCGGCTTTGTCGCCGTACGAGCGTTGCAGGTGTGTTGCAACCTGGTCTCGTGCTATGTTAGGCTTGAGTGAGTCCGTAAGCGTGGGCGTGCCGCAATGTGTGGGACGAGGAACGCTCTAGAGCGTATGCCAGCGCTGTTGCACGCTGCCACGCCCAGTGAGGCCAGAAGCGTCGCGCAATGCAGTCCCTATTAGATGAAGGCCGACACGGTAGCACCGTCCAGCCGCGGAGCGAACGCGTCAAGTCGTTACAAGCTTGCTCGCCTGGGTCCGGGACCACCTCCCTCACCCCGTCGCAGGGGCTTTCCCATTGGTGCCCGTTGGAATATACTGGATCGCGGCTGCCTTCTTGAGCATGTACTGCCTCTCCGAGGGCGTCGGCGGCGGCGGGACGGGCCATGCCTCGACGGCGCCCATGTCATCGCCCGACACCGCAACTGAGGGCCTCCTGGCCGGGCGTCCCGGCTTCCCCAAGGGCCTGCGCGTGCTGCTGGCGGACGCCGAGGGCCCGGCCATGAACGACGTCCGCGAGCAGCTGCAGCAGCTCGGGTACGACGTGACGACCTGCCCTGCTGCCGCTGCCGCGGCGCTCGTCTGCCGCGGCACCGGCGCCGGCGGGCCCGGCGCGGACGCCGCCCTCGGACGCGCGCCGCAGCGCCCGCCGCCACCTGGGAGCCCCGCCTCGAGCCAGAGCAGCTGCGGCACCAGCGCCGCTGGCTGCGCCGCCGCTGCAGCCCCCGCCGCGCCCTATGACGTCATCCTCGCCGACCTGCCCGCGGCAGGCGGCGACCCGGCCCAGCTGGCCGCCGCTGCCGCGGCCGCGGGCGTGCCGCTCGTCCTCATGGGCGCGGGCTGCGCGCCGGGCGACGTCGTGAGGGGCGTGCGGCTGGGCGCGGCGGACTTTCTGGAGCGCCCGCTCAGCGGGCTGAAGCTGCGCAACCTCTGGCAGCATACGGTGCGGCGCGCGCTCAACGCGCGGCACGGCGGCGGCGGCGCCGATGGTGAGCGCCACGAGCGGCGGAAGCTGGTCGCCGCCCGGCAGTGCGGCGCGGTTGCGGGCGGCCCCAACGGCGGCGCCGCCGCCGCTGCCGCCCCTGCGGCCCCCGTCGCC